ATCTCATCTAATAACTGTTATGGAGCAACGCTTTTGCTTATAACTGTTATATTCCAGAAAAAATCATTTGCAAGTCATCAGGAAGCCAAGTTTTGATAGCTATTAGGCTAAAAGATTTGGTTCCTTTGGGAAGCTTTAGATTTTAAGCTCTCAGAAAACAATTCCGAATTTAAAATCAAGGTTAGACAAAAATAGATTTAGTCGCTCTTTCCATTTCCATTTTTCCCCCAACAAGCACATCGTGGTACAAAGCCCAATAGCATTGCTAAAATCAAAGATGGTATAATTGATTTATGGTCGCAGTTATTTGAAGCGGGGAGCTGTAACAAAAGAAGCAGGCAAATAGATACCTACAATAATAACACCAGGACAGGATGCTTTTAAGGTCCTTCATGTGAATAAAGCGTAAAGACCTCTTTAGCCACAAGTGGTCTGCAAGGCCATTAAGTAAGTTGCAACAAATCTTTACATAGCATATGTATAGGGACTGGAAAAGCTCAACATCTGCTCTATGGCTGCCCAGCATATGTAAGCTTAAGAGGTTGATATGACTTTTGTGAAGAAAAAAATCGCGAAGGGAATCTTACTACAGGGAATCTTGATAACAGCAAAACAAGTCAAACCAATCCTAGCTTTTAATATTATTGATAAAATAAACTGCCCAGCGGCTAGGGTAAATAGTCAAATTGTATTATCAAGCATTTCAAGGCTTTAGCCTACAATTCTTCTCACCAATTACTAACTTTGAATTCGAGATGAAAGACATAGGTATTACTTTTGATTTCAAGCTAACATGATGGCTGGAAACCGAGCAGGGAGCAAGGTAAGGCCTAGCACGGTATTGAGGCAGTCACTGCATGCGATTTACGATATTGACACCTGAGTCAAACGAACGATAATAAATTATGAAAATAAGCGGAAGTGAGCAGAAATTATATCGCCTGCCTGATGATTGCTGTGTCCTTCGAGCGGAGATCTATCGCATTGAGCAGGCTGATTTTCTTCTACTACAAAAAAGGAGGAAAGTCCCGGAATTCGTTGGTAATTAAGCGGCATCTCCGGACAAGAGGACTCCAGCCCCTGAAATCTCGCCTTTTTACTAGCTTGAGAGGGATAAGAGTTGTGCCCTTTAATTTCACCTGCGACAATAATTCTAGTAAGAAGGCTATTAAAAATATGAATATACCTAATCCTGGCACAGATAAAAATGATCAAAAATCCCTCCAAGTGGAAGTGTGAAGTCTTCTTGCACACCCGTCTAGCCAAACTAAAGCTTTGATCATTATAGCAAAAAAAGAGCTTAATATTTACGATCATTTATGCATATGCATCTTAAAACTAAAAGCTTCAACGTTTCATAAAAAGCCTCGTAAGACTAAGTTTAGTTTCGGAGGAAGTAAGATTTCTTAGCATGTTTGCTTAGAAGCTTCTAAATATAAGCAAACAGATACATAAATATACATACATTAGGGTGCCCCACTAAAAAAATTTTTCTATTGGAATATACAATTTAATTATACTCGTATTTGAAGACTTCCGCCAAAATATTTCGGATAAATTTTAAAATTTACGTGTGCTGTATTGATTTGAAAATTCTGCCATAAATCTTATCCTTTTGATTCGGTTGATAAAATTGTTAAACATAAACGTTAAAGCTTGAACTCTGCTATAGTCTGCGGTATTTTTTTTTTTTTCTTTTTTAACTAATGTAAAATTTTATTATACTCGTATTTGAAAATTTCCGCCAAAATATTTCGGATAAATATTAAAATTTACGTGTTCTGTATTGATTTCAAAATTGTTCCATAAATCTTATACTTTTGATTCGGTTGATTAAATTATGAAACATTTTATTGCAGACATTTAAAGATTGAACTCTGCTATAATCTGTGGTAATTCTTTTTGAAAACAAATTTTTTTTTTAAATAATATTATTTATAAAAAAACTCGATTTTTAAGGCATTTTAAAATCGGTCCACCCGATGTTTTTGTGAAATATTTTGTCGGCAGTCTCAAAATATAATAGACTATGGCTGAATTTCTTTATTCATTCTGAACGTTTGGAATAAACTTTTTTGTTTACTTATTCTTTAGAACGTTCCTGATGATATGTTAACGTATATTTCAAAAGCATTCTGTTTATTCCGGCTGTGAAATGGGATTATCCGGAATGTATAAAGAAACGCAGCCTATAATTCCGATGGAAAAACTGTACTGAGGTTATTATGTTTGGAGAGTGTAACACCCTAATATACATACATAAGTGCATATTTAAATTAAGCTTTATGCAAAATCTTACTAAAACACTCCAGGCGTCTGCAGCTGTAAAATGTAGGCAAAATAAGTAAATACAAGCATCAGCACATCAACACTTGACAGCATTACACAACAAGATGTCTGACTTAGTAGCCACACAAACACACAACCACACAAAACTCGAGTATCGCTGCCCAATTACAAGCTTAGTTTAAAGTAGATCAAGTTGAACCCTCAGAGATTGGCAAGAGATACATATGTATGTAGTTATATGGGTAGATGCAAGGAAAAACAAGGAAACGTGAGAGGTTTGCTTATTTATACAAGAACGATTGTTTGCACATTTACATACATATGTTTATGTTTATGTATATGCATAAGTTTATGTACTTACATGAGTGGGAGTGTAACTGTGTAAGCAGATAAGATAACATACATATGTACATTTGTTTACGGAAAAATGTTTGCCCAGCGGTTGATACAATTTACAAGTATATGAATGCAATTGTATGCATGCAAGGAAGTTTTAGAGCACATATGTATGTATGTAAATGTGTGCATGCGTGTAGAATTATAGTTATAAAAAAAAACGTGATCCCACTCGTTGTCTATTTCTTTGACCAACTCATGTGCAGTCTTCGGCCCCTTTAGTTTAATTTGTCTACCAAGAAAAATTGCAGCCCAGTAAACTACAGCAGCGAGCGGCTAAAGCGAGAAATTTGCTAAAAATAGAACAAACTAAATAAGTTGTAATGCTTTAGGCAGGCTTGTTTATACATATACATATGTATTAGAGGGCTGCATGAATGCATTCAAAACGGCTTTTGAATTATTCATATACAAAGCGAATGACTGGTTTTGGCTTAAATTTTTTTGAATTTGAGTGAATAGCTGTTCAGATATTTGTGTCGACATCACAATATTCAAACAAAGTGAAAATAAATTGAATTGAAATAAATGACAATTTTTTGTATGCATATCCAAAAATATTTTTCTATGCACATATGTACAAACATACAATGTGTGTATGTATGTATTGCTGCGCTCCTATTACATACGAAAAACTTGTTTGTAGAAAAAAACTTTTACCGAAATGAGTTTGAATAATTTGAATCATGATAAAAACACAGCAAGGTATAACCGTTCTCTCAATTTGTCGGCCATGATTTTTTTTTTGAAGTTTGCCAACATTTTAAAATCATATAAAAGTGAAAATAAAAAATTGAAATTGCTCGAAATTGTTGTTGCTTGAGATTGAAAATGAAATTGTGTGTGTGAGTTTGTGAGTAAATTTAAAAATTAAATTGTTTGGAAACGTCAAGAATTTTAAAAGTGCCTCTCAGCGGTTCTACCTTACTATATTTTTATCATGATTTGAATATTTTCTATTCATTCATTCACATTCTTCCATTTGAAGGTAGAAAATATAAAACAAAATGTATATTCATAACTTATGCCGAATTTCCACTAGGCATTGAATTGACAAAAAATGCATGCCATTCAAAAAAATGCCATGTGGAAATGAACTTAATGACTATGTTTTTAATGTAATGACACGATTATTTTTTAATGCCCGACTTTGTCATTTGTCATTTTTGCCATTTAATGCCTAGTGGAAATCCAGCATTACAAAATTCCAAACGCTGAGTGTTTTGTATGTGAAGTAAAATAATATGTACATATACATATATCCATTGATATAAATAAATAGAAACCAATTTAATTTTTTGCAGCAGGCTTGCTGACGAGCAATCTTAAACACACACACTAAATCTTATGTATATCTGCAGCAATTACTGCAATACAACCAGCACTACACTTGCTAATTCACAACAATGCCTCGCCGCCAAGCTACGAGTACGTTTTCCATTCAAAGAAGTGGTGGTTTTGATGCAACACCACAAACGAACGAACGAACACACACCGTGAATAAAAACTTCATTGCCGCTGTTGACCACAAAATGCAAATCAAGTTTGTGGCACTGTGAGTAAGTTGTTGGAAGTTTTTTTTTGTTTATTTTTTTATTTTGTTGTATTTATTCATAAAGACAATAGAAAATATGACGTTGCAAGCATAATAAGAATATCAGAAAGCAGCAAGGAGAATATACTATAAGTTAACCATACTCGCAAGCATTTGCTATTCATAGCTGCTGCGCCGTTTGTGTTTTAGCTGTGGTAATAAAGCTTTTAAGCTTGCACATAGGCCAGGTAAATAAATACGAGTAATTTAGATACCATATTTTATGAGGAGTGATGTGTGCTGTAGTGATGTGGTTAGCAAATGTTTAGTTGTTCTAAATAAAAAGCTGAATGTGAATTCGCTGAAGTTGAAAATGGAAAAATAAAGAATTTTAATTCGCATTCGTATTTGCATTCGAATCTGCTTTTATATACGTATTCGTGTTCCCATTTCTATTCGTAATTCTATTTGCATCCGTATTCGCATTCCTAATTATATGTATACGTACATTTGTATTCGTATTCGTATTCGTATTCGTATTCGCATTCACATTCGTTTCCACTTGTTTTCAAATACTAACACCAATTCCTCTTTGCATTCGTATTCACATTTGTATTCGTATTTGCATATATTTTGCGTATATTTGTATGCGTTTTTGTATTCGTATTCCTATTCATATACGCATACGTATTGGTATTCATATTCGCATTTGCATTCGTATTGGTACTGCTATTGTATTTGAATTTATATTCGCATTCACATTCGTACTCGTTTTCGACTTCTAACTCGACTTCCTATTTGCATTCGTATTCGTATTCATATTCGTATTTGTATTTGTATTTGTATTCATATTTGTATTCGTATTCCAATTCACATTCGAATGCGAATTCGTATTTGTATTCGTCTTCCTATTCATATACGCATTCGTATTTGTGGTCATATTCGCATTTGCATTCGTGTTGCTATTTGAACTCATATTCATATTCTCATTCGTATTTGAATTCACGTTCGTATGGCTATTCGCATTCGTATTCGTATGGTTATTCCTATTCCTATTTGGACTCGTGTTATTATTCGTATTCGAACTGCCATCTGCATTTGTATTTGTACTCGAATTCGTAGCCCCATTCATTTGCGAATTCGAAATCCTGCTCAAACCTGCGTTAGTATTCTTATGTAAAACAACAGCAGTCCAACGAAGAACATTGCTCTGTGGCTTTAGCTTGGTTAGGTACTGTAACTTAATAAATGCCCTGAAGGGTTTGCAAAAATTATAATGTTAAAAGACTTGGTATAATTTTAATATATATAAGCTCAGAATAAGTTTAAATCAAAAGTACAAAAAAAACCTTAATCTCTAATCCTTATGGAATTCAATTACTTATTTTTTGTTTCAAATTGCTCACCTACCCTGCTTGCATTTGTTTTTCCCACGCTCTACTTCCGTTTTATTTATATTCTTGGAAAATCAATAAACAAACCTGTAAACAGCCATAGCAAAATTTGTAATACACTAAGTAAATATAAATAAACGCAGGTAAGCAGCAGATACTAGTAAGTACTGGTTAGCGGGGCGTAAACGAATTTTGCGTATACGCCCCCGGTATACGTGTTTACACTAAACCAAGAAATGCACGCTAACGTCTCAACACCTTTTTGTACATGCATTCAATTTGTAGATGAAAATTGTGTAACAGTAAAGTGTTGTTGGTTTTATTTTTTGGTAAATAAATACTATAATTTTCGAGTGAAAGCGAAAAATCTTAGTAGTAAGGCAAAGAGTTATGTAGTGGCGTCATACGACTTTTTGATGTGGAAAGCAGTTATAGTTTTATCTTAATTTTTGACGTAGAATACGTCTTACCTTAAGGTATGGGGGCTATGTTCAAATGTTGTAGTTGCAATTTTTAGAGCTTCACAAAAACGCTTATTGCACGAGAACTAATAAAGCGATTTCAAAGAAAAGTGTGGCGTTTCAAAGATAAAATTCCAAACCTGTCGACAGATTCATTTTTGTAAATAACTAATTCGGTTTCTGTCGTAAAAACAACGGTAAACATTGCCTTATTTTGGGGTCAATTTTGAGCGTTTAAAGTGCTCTAGCAACTTATTGTTGGCATATATAACTTTCATTTTCGGGATATAGGTTCTTTGGAGCAGTAGAAATATTATCGGGTAAAAATTTTATATAAATTTAACAAATATTGAGCATTTTAAGGCAAAAAATTGTTGAAAAAATTTGCAAATTTTTTTCATTACCAAAATGCTCGAAAACCGCTCGAATGATTTTGTTTTTGTTTTCTTTAGTCAAAAATTCAAGAGTTTTCCTTTCGTTTGGTATATGGGAAGTATTGGTTGATATCTTCTATATATGTTTATTTTATTCAAATATATGGGCATAAATGATTTTCCATACAAAATCACCTCGTCATCATTTTGCAAACACGTGCATATGTTGGAAGTGTGGGAAGGAGACAAAAAGTATGTATGCGTATGTAATGCGGCTTTTGATAAACAGAGGCGCGCTATTTATAACCTAATCGCAGCGTGTGTACATATGTAAATACATACATACGTACATATGTTGATTGCAGTTAATGTGGATCTGTTTCTATTTTTAGTAATCTATGTATGTCTATACATACATATGTACATACATATTATATATGTACATACATATATGAACACATGTATGCATAATACGCGAAGACTTTTCGAAGTGAAACAACATTTAGAAAAAGTCCAATCCAAGAATAAAAGTAAAGGTGAGGACGTACATAGATAAAGAAAAGGATAAAGGCCAAGGTAAAAATAAACACAAAAACAAAGTTGAGTAAAGATAAAGGCAAACATAAAGACCAAGGTAATTTTAAACACTTTACTTATATGTATAAGTGCAAAGGTGAAGGGGAATATGTATATGAAGAATATGATAAACATAAAAATAAAAACAAAGATAAATATAAAGAAAAAGATGCGGATGAGGATACCGATAAAAGTATAGATGAAGATAGAGGAAGAAAGATTAAAATAAAGGTAGTTGTAGAGAAAAGGATATAGATAAAGGCACAGAGACTCAATCTCGGAACTATTTCGGGATTTTAGGGATTCTCGGGACTTATCGATATAATCGATATTTTGTTGGTTTTTTTATCGATTTTGTTATCGAAATTTTTATCGATATTGTTATTGATTTTGCTATCGATATTTTTGGAACTTATCGATATAATGATCGATATTTTTATCGATTTTGTTATCTCTTTATTATCGATTTTGTTATCGATTTT